ATACATACACATACATAGATACATACATACATACATACATACATACATACATGCATGCATGCATGCATACATACATCCATACATGACCAGATCCCGATCTCAGAACCACTGGCCAGTTCACGGAAACAGCATTCATTTTCACTGAAACAGCGATGCGGTTCACTGAGGTTTAGGGCTTAGGGTTTAGGGTTCGGCGCAAGAAGATCAATGAAACAACCATGTTCTTAGATCGACAGACAGACGCACAGACAAACAGACAAACTAAATAGATAGACACATAGATATCAGGAGATGTGTAGATAGGCAGATAGATAAAAGAAAGTGTACATAGGTAGATAGACAGATAGATAGATAGATCGATAGATAAATAGATAGATCGACACACAGGTAGCCAGATAGATAGATAGATAGATAGATAGATAGATAGTTAGATAGACATACAGATAGACAGATAGATAGACAGACAAATATAGAGGTACATAGACAGATAGATAGATTGATAGACAGATAGATAGATAGATAGATAGATAGATAGATAGACAGATAGACACATAGATAGATAGATCGACGCTTAGATAGAGTGTTTGATTGACTGGTTTTAGATGGACAGTTAAGTAGATAGTTAGACAAATAGATAGTGAGGGCCTGAACCCTAAACCCTAAACCCAAACCCCGAAACCCTAAACCTCTAAACCCTAAACCCTAACCCCTAAACCCTAAACCCGAAACCCCTAAACCCTAAACCGGCTGAAGGAGGGCCAAGCTTTCCCCGTCCCAGCCCTGTATCGCGCCTGGATCCTGAATGTACATGCTTTTGGTGAGGCTATCCAAACCTAAAGAGTCCAAATTACCTATATAGTAGACTGTGGGGTTTATATATGAGGAAGTAACCCTAAACCCTAAACCTAAACCCTAGACCCTATCATGACTTAGGTTTAGGGTTTAGGGTTTAGGGTTTAGGGTTTAGGGTTTAGGGTTAGCGGGAACGCTTATCATGACTTGGGGAGGTCTCCTCAAACAGCAGTACCTACTTGGAGGGTCGGGGGACTTAGTAAGTAGCTACTTTCATAGAGTTATAAGTACCATAACCCCAATTAGGATCCCATTTAGGGCGCTTATAACTCCACTTATTTCCCACTTACTAAGTCCTCCGACCCTCCAAGTAGGTCCCTTTGGGCAAGACAGGTACGACGTGCTAGGGTCCAGAGTTCCGCAAACGATGAACCCTCGAAGCCGGTGTAGGGCCACGAGACCCTGAAACTTAGGGTTTAGGGTTTACGAGTTTAGGGGTTTAGGGGTTTAGGATTTAGGGTTTAGGGTTTAGGGGTTTAGAGGTTTAGGGTTTAGGGTTTAGGGTTTTAGGGTTTAGGGTTTAGGGTTTAGGTAGGGCCTACGAGACCCTGAAACTACCCAGACCCTTAAATGTAGTACTTTTTAATGGATGACCTATCTTATGGTTAGGATCCTATAATCAGAAACTAAGGTAACTAAACAAGGTACTAAATTTAAGTGTCTAGGTACGCAACACCTCTTGATTTCCAGCAATGGTCTTATACGTAACCCTGCATAAAATTCCCGAGCGCCCTTGGGTCACAAAAACTAGCCTACGGGTCCTGCTACTGTCGAATGACCCTTAACAGTAGGGCTTTATGTACCCATACAATACGCCTTACATGCTCGTAGGGTTCGTTTGGGACCTTCAACTAGGACCCTGAACCCTCAACCCAAAACCCTGAAGCCAAAACCCTGAACTCAAAACCCCTGAAGCCCCAAAACCTAAAATCTAAACCCTCAACTAGACCCTAAACCCTAAACCCTAAACCCTAAACCCTAAACCCTGAACCCTAAACCCCAAGGGTCGCCTTCGAGTTTTTTGCCGCCAAGGCACCCGCAAGCGCTGATCGCAGAGCTGTAGGCCACGTCATCCTCGGCTCAGGGTCTAGAATTTAGGGTTTAGGGTTTAGGGTTTAGGGTTTAGGGTTCAGGGTTCAGGGTTTAGGGTTGAGTTCATCTACGGCTTCCTTCAAGGGTCCCATTGTAGGGCTCCTCTAAGGTGTTCTATAAGGGTTCCTTTAGGGCTTTCTAGAAATTAGGGTCCCATTGTAGGGCTCCTTTAAGGTGTTCTATAAGGGTTCCTTTAGGGCTTTTAAGGTGTTCTATAAGGGTTCCTTTAGGGCTTTTAAGGTGTTCTATAAGGGTTCCTTTAGGGCTTTCTAGAAATTAGGGTTTAGGGGTCAGTGTTTTGGAAAAAAACCTTAAGGAGGGAATGAACCCGAAAAAGGGTCTAGGGCTTGTAGGGATTAGGGTCTATTTAATCAGGCTCACATAGCATATAGGGATCCACAGGATGAGGGTACGCGCGACCTTCACTTTCAAGGGTCCTTTGGCTCCCTAAGGTATGGGTTTAATGTTGATGGAGCTTAAAGGTTCTGTGTTTAAAGGTCTACGATGGTTTACGATGGTTCAGCGTTGAAGGGGGATCCCCAATAATGGTGCATCTAGCCATCTAGAAAAACAACTTGGGCTGTGAAGTAGCCCTAAACCCTAAACCCTAAACCCTAAACCCTAAACCCTGAAGTAGCTAGAACCCAAACGAATCCTGAGTGCGCGCGATATAGGCAATAATATAGGGGGCCTCAATGATGAGTTTTTGTGCTCCTTTGTGTCATAGAACTAAATATTAAGGTAAGGAAACCTAAAAAAAACTATTGGTGCTTAAGTTATACTTAGTTAGCCCCTAGATTGCATGAACGCTTCCGGATTTGATCGTTGACTCTCCATCGCAGTTCCCCTAACAAGTCCAAACTACACCGGAAGCCAGTCTACACCCAAACCCTCGGCCTTTTGTAGAAACCCTCCGAGGAACCGGCGGAGCACTTTTTTTTT